TGACCTTGAGTCACCCTTGACGGGGGTTTCCTATGTCATGGTCACTAGGGGCAGGAGAGGGGTGGTCCCCAAGGAAAACAACCGGCAGACTCCCAATCACTGGTGAAGTTCTTTCTTTATAATCGATTTTTAATTTTCTTGCAGAGTAGCGGGATCAGGGCTGGGTTAACTGCGCGTGAAGTTGGTACCTGGCAGGGTCGCTGAGAGCGCGCGGATAAGACGACCGCGAATGGAGAGTCGCGTGGCCGGGGACCGAGATCCTCAGTAAGAGTGGCCTAGGACTGAGAAGAGCGCTGGTGGTTGCACGAGGACACTCCGGGCCAGGAGGGCCCGTCTGGGCATGACTCGCCTGGCAAGGGGTCGCCGCAGGTCGCGGAGGAGCGTGTCCCCGGTCCCTGTCTCTCGCTGCAGCTGCAGGTCGGGCCGGGGGACGCGCCCCGCAGCGCCTTCCAGGGAGAATGCCGACTGTGCGCGTCACAAGGGCGCGCGCTCCGGGCCGAGGCGCCCGCACTCAGGGCCGGGCCGGGTGGCGCAGCGCCGCTGTGCAGCAAGCGCTCGCGTCGCGGGACCCGCGGCCGGTGAGTGCCCCGCCCCGCCGCAGCGCCGCCTGCCGGGCGAAAGCAGCACTGCGGCCGCCCACCACCGGTGTGGACCTAGGGGCCCTGAGCCTGGAAAGCCGCCTGTTCCCCACCAGACGTAGGTAAATTGCAGTGTGTAAAGAACTCCTAAAACGTCCGACGCGTTTCCATTTTCCTTCCATAACGATCCTCATTATTATTATTTTAATGGTGTGTCTTTCTGCACCCTGGTTTAGCTGGTCCCCGAGGCGCAGGTTCAATTCCTGAGTTGCGCAGCCGCGGCTCAGTCTAATCCACACAGGAACCTGACAGGGTCCCTGCAGGACCCTCCACAGGCCTGGCTTATCCTTTAAAGTCAGATTGTTAGAATTTGGAAGCAGAGGAGGGGCCGGCCTACCCTGCCTCAGCTAGCCTGGAGGGGATGCCCTCCAATCAAACCTGGTATTTGCCAAGAGCTCACCAGGTGCTCGCCAGGGGACTATGGCCTGATGTGGCCTGACCAGGCTCTGACTTCTTGGCACTTTCTGCTCCCCAGAAGTGGGCCGGCTTTGGTTCCTCCCAGGAATAGCAATTACAGGACATGTGGGAAGTGCAGGGCACATTTAGGCAGCAGCGCAGAGTGGGGCTTGTGGCCAGGAGAGAAGGCACCGCCCATTCATGTTCTGAAACTCTTGAAGGCTGGTTGGATTGGATTCTTGAACTGTGAGTTTGAGAACTCTGAATGAGAGGGTGGTAAGACAGGGACCAGGACACCTGGGGCATCCTCCAAAGGCCCAGCTATGAGGCTGAGGGAGGACCTATCCCCAGGGAGCAATCCTATCCCCAGAAGGGGAGGATTGTGCTGGCCTCTGGAAGCTGAAGAGAAGCCAGTAGTTTGGAGGAGCCTGGCTCTGGGTATGCATGTATATCTCAGCAAAGAGAGCTCTAGCTCCCAGGGAATAATACCCAACACAGCCAGTGATCTCAGGAACAGGCACTGGATAATCCTGTCAGACAAGCACCATTCATCCGTCACGTGAGCAGGCTGTGCTAAGGGCTTCAACACTACCCCACGTGGGTGTAGGTACTCCCATCTACAGATGAGGAAACTGAGCCCAGTGAGGCAAAAGCACACTGCCCGTGAAAGGCAGGTGCACCCAGTCCCGCTCTGCAACCAGTGCATCCCAGAACCACTTAGGATCCAAAGAGCCCTGGGACGTAGGAGAGCCCCTGGACAAGGTGAAATTGAGCTGCACAGAATCCCAGAGTTGAAAGGGGTCCCATTAGAATAAAAGGTTTCCTTTGCCCAAACCTTATCAGTGAGGGAAATCCGGCTGCAGCTTGTGCCCCCTTCCAGGGCTCAACCAGAGGCAGTAGAGACATGGAGCCATTGTCCTTACCTTGCCTTCCTGCCTGTGGGAATGTCCCCGCATTAGATATTTTCCTTTAATGATGATTTACTAAAATTCAGTTAGCTCCCAAGCCTTCTAGAACCTGCATTGCCATCCACTACTGTCCCATTACCTATCAGACTGAAAGTCATTTTCAAGGCAGCTGATCATGTAAGTTAGGAATGCTTTAGGCTGTAATGAACAAGTTACACAATGAGGGTGCCTTCACAATAGTGACACGTATTATTTTACTTAACAAGCAGCCTGGAGGAAGGCAGTTCCAACAAGGGGCAATAGCAAAGCTTGTTAATAAGAATCAAAATTTTCTTTGTGCTCCTCAGCATTACAATGATATTTCTTCTCATGGTCATTGCATGGTTGCCAGATCACCGACCATCATGCCTTCCCCCTAATTTCCAAAAAGAAGAAAGAGAGGGAAACATAGACAAAGTTCTGTTTTGTCACAAAGGAATAGGAATAGACTTCTCTTTATGTCTCATTGGCCAGAGCTGGGTCACATGCCCATCTTTAAACCAATCATTGATAAAGAGAGGTGGAGTTACCATGATTACTGGAAACCAATCACAGTTCATCCTCTGATACACTGAGGGGGGGCAACATTAAAGTTATGTTAGGAAGAAAGATATTAACTCTAGTTAGCTTAAGTCATTCCAGCTGCTGTAACAAATAAATCTTCACATTTCATTGGCATGGTGCACAGAAGTTATTTTCTCATTCAAATGAAGTCCAATGAGGGTGTTCATGGTTGGCAGGTGACTTCTTCCATAATTTGATTTTGGGAATCTGTCTTGTGTATTTCTTTATGTTATGGCCCAGGAGTTGACTGCTTCCATCCCATTGGTGAGAATTCATCACATGTCTGTGCCTGGATGTACAAGTAGCTGGAAAGTATAAGCTGTAGCTGGAAGCCACCTCAGGTGGCCACTCTGAGTGACAGGGAGGTGGCTGTTCAGCCATCCAGGAACAATGGGTTTCCAGGTTGATCTTTTGCCTGTCACCCCACTCCCCACTGGCTGTGGCCATCTGTACTCCGGAACCAATCATCTTCTGAACACTCCTTTTATTCGCTTGTATCTCCACCTTTGCCTGGGCTGCTCTCTAGGTCCAGAATTCCCTCTGCACTTTTCCTCTCTGCTTGGGTGAGCTCCTGTCCGTTCTTCTAAATCCAAATTAAAAATCCTCTCCCTTGTTGAGACTTTCCTCTACTTCATCCTGGGCTTCATTCACAGAAGTATTTTTTTCTATTTTTATCATTATTTATTTATTTAGGTACCAGGGATTGAACCCAGGCTGCCTAGCCACTGAGCCACATTCCCAGACCTTTTTATTTTTTATTTTGAGACAGGGCCTCACGGTTGCCTTTAAACTTGTGATCATCCTGCCTCAGTCTCCTGAGTAGCTGGGATTACAGGCATGTGCCACCGAGCCAGCCTATCCACAGCATCTTTTTTAAAAAAAATTTTTTTTTAGTTGTTGATGGCCCTTTATTTATTCACATGAGGTGCTGAGACTCAAACACAGTGCTCACAAATGCTAGGCAAGTGCTCTACCACTGAGCCACAACCCCAGCACCTATCCACAGCATCCTGAAGGCTGATTCACCACTCAGAGGCAAGTGATAGAAAACTCAGATTGCTTTAATGGAAAACATTGATTCATGTAATTGACATAACCTAGAGGCATCTTCAGGCTTGGCTAAATCCAGAGGCTTAAATGATGTTTTCAAGATTCAGTCTCTTTCCATATTAGCTTTATTCTCATGTCCCAGCAGAGGCAAGATGGCTCTCAGTCATCCCTAACCTCATTCTCCTAGGCTCAGGTATGGGAAGAAGCCAAGTCTCTCCCTTCTGAGTGTTCCAGCTTCAATTCCACTACACACTCTGCTTAGGAGCAGGAGTCACGTGACCACCCTTGAGCCAATACTAGGCCAGATGGCTAGGCTTATGCAGATTGGGCAGGGATCTGGCATTCTGATTGGTCGATATAGAGTCATAGTTCCAATCCTAAAACTGGTGGGAAGCAATGATCCCCTGAGGGGCAGGGGAGAGGGAGGGTGTGGCTTTTCACAGGCAATTCAGGGCCTCACCAGGAGACAGGGAATGCTGAACCCTGCAAACCCCAGGAGACAATCACCACCACACTTCACCATGTGGAACAACCCATTTACTGAACACGTATTATGTGCCAGGAACAGTGCCTTACACATAATGGCCTGCAAGGCGGCTTCTAGAATTTTCCCCATTATCCAGATGATGAAACAGAAGCTCTGCAGAACTGAAAGGACTTGCCCAAAGCTCGTTAGTGGTTGTGGAGGAATTTCAGCTGAGATCTGGTGAACCACACAACCAGTGCTTTTTTAATCCCCTACATTTCGGAACCCCTCCTCTATGGGAGGAAAAGCTAGAGTTTCTGCTTTAGGAACCTAGCTCCTGAGTCTGGAATTGGGGACTCAGGGAGTCTCACAGCCCATAGGGCTTAGAGAGTCAGTATTGCCCCCTCCTCTGAGTAGGCCAGGTGAGGTTCAAGTGATGACCTGATAAATATGTCCCTCAGTGCCACTGGCTCCTGCTCTAAAGGGGTGGGGGTCCACCCACAGTTGTAGCTGGGGCACATTTTGTTTTGACCCCATAAGGGGACACACCACCCCAGTGCCACTTTGCCCCCTTTTCTTTAGGAACACAAGGAGCAGAAGGGTAAGTGACATGCCAGAACCATCTGCCCAGCTCCTAATAATACATTCTGAGTGGAACAAGTTCCGGGCAAACATTGCTTTAAAGGGGGGGGCTCTTCTTACACCCGGGCAGCCATCTGCCTCCTTCTCACGTGCCAAGCTGTGGGCGGGGGACGGGACTGTGGAGAGTGGGGAAGGGAGGAGGTGTCACTTGGTCCTGCACCGCCAGCAGGGTGGCTCACAAGTTCTCTTCCTTTTATCACTGTGAACAGGACACTGCTGAGACAAAGAGGTGGGCTCACTGGCTTTGACCTCCGTAGGTCCAGTGTCTGAGCAGAGGAAAAGTTCAATTCCTTCAAGATGCCGGTGGTAGGTAGCCACAGCTCCTGGGGACAGTTGGGCACTCTGCTGTATACTCACTTCACAAGTATTAGCTCTTTGTCATTTTTTAGATGGGAGCCTGGAAGCTCAGAGACAGCCAGTGACTTACTCCCAAGGTCACAAAAGGTGGCAGAGCTAGGACTTGAACCCAGGGCCCCCAAGAATACCCTCTTCTCAACATAGCAAGGAACCTCTTGAGTACGCAGTGTTGACAGGAGCCATCTTGCCATCCTGGCAACCCAGGGCCGGTTTTCCATGTAGCAGACGAGCATTCACCTCGTCCTGGGTGGGCAGCCATGGCCAGCCCTGTGCAGGCAGCCATCCTCCCTTGAGCCCCAGTGCGGGCATTTCTGGTCACCTCACCCCTCACTCTCCGCACCATCTCAACCAGTTGAAGAAGCACAGGAGAAAAACCTCGGTAACTCCTCCGGAACTTTCCGAGAAGACCAAGGAGCAGCTGGCGGAGGCCGAGCTTCGGCAGCTGAGGTTGCAGTTCCGAAAAATGGTGGAAAGTCGCAAGTCCTTCAACTTCCGCAGCCAGCTGAAGCTCTCCAGCCAGCAGTGAGTGACCTTGGAGGGCAGCGGGGTTGGGCTTCGCGGGCTCACCTTCTCCAGGGGAAACCCGCTGGACGCGGCCTCAGCAGGAAGCGGGTGTTGTCAGCGTCCAGGGCTCGGCGGGGACCCCGGGGAGCAGGGCGCCCACCCTCAGGGAAGACCCGAGAGGAGGCTTTCTGGTGCCTCTGCCTCTCTTTCCTGTCCTCTCTCCGAATTTCATCCTTGGCTGGAAGAAAATGATTGTCCCCAACTCTTGAGTTTGCCAGTGACCCAGGGCCACAGTCTGGAATCCGTCCCAAAGGCCCACGAGAGAGGGGAAGTGTGATTGGCTCCGCTTGGGTCAGGTGTCTACTCCTGGTCCAATCAGCTGAGTGGGGAGGGGCCGTGGGAGGAGAAGTGGGCGTGGTTATTCCTGCCCTGGGCCCTGCCTGGGGGAGTTCCTTGGGCTGTGCAAACCCTTGGCCTTCCCTATTTGTGCGTCCTTAGGGGAACTTCATGATAGAATATATGAAACTAGGTTGCCCTAGAAACAACGGTGTGTGTATTTCTTTGGGCAACAGAAAGGTGTTCCCTAGAGTTGAATAAACAAACAGAAGCAGGAATTCTGAGATTCCCTCCGCAGGAATCTAATGCCTTAGCTACATCCGTAGTGTTTACAGAAAGCTCACTGTTAGAAAATCTCACTGTTGGATGATGCGTGAAGTTCAAAGGATGGAGAAAACGGTTCCTTAGATTTCCCTTGGATTCACTTAAATCAGGGCCGGGGCTGGTCCACATGGGACATCCCTGTGAATTTTTAAAAGGCATCCTTTCCCAAGACACTTTACTGCCATCTGTTGGAAAAATGGTCATTGCATAGGGATTTTATTAGAACAAGAAAAAGTGTCTCCTAGAAAAGTGTAATCAACACATCTGTGATGCTTTGTGGGCATTCTCCAGGGTGGTGCTGCCCACAACCTGCACATCTGTGCCTGGCCATCTGACTGGACGCCTGGTTGGCATCAAGAGATGCTTCCTTCCTGGTGTGGCTACTTCGCCCCATTTGATCTGGTTTCACTTTGGTAGAACTGAAGGGAGGGGTGGAGGAGTGGGGAGTCTGGTTTCTTTACAGTTAGCACCTATAAATAGAGCCAGACTGAGGGCAGGGCCCTCAGGCACTTTTTCCAAATGCCCACCCCCTCACTTAAACCACCCTGAGAGGGAGCGCTTTTAAAATCTAGGGGCACCTCACTCTCTTACCCAGTCCGAGCGCTGTCTACAACAGACAAACCTTCCTTTAGCTTTAACCACTGTACCAAACGCCTGATTCAGGTGGAGCGGTCTTTCTTTTCTCTCCACCTTAAAGAAGACCCCCTTCCAGGAGGGGATGAAGAAGGGGAGAAAGTCCAGTTGCAAGCTGAGAAGACTAGGTCACCAGCTATGTGTGGCTATTGAAGTTGCAACTGATTAAATGAATCGAAAACAGAGTTCTTTGGTTGCTCGAGTCACATTTCCCATGTGCACTGGCCACATGTGCCTCCATGGGTGTTCCTGGATGGTGCAGATAGAGGACATTCCCATCCTTAAACAATGTCCTACAGGACAGTGGTTGGCAGGCCATGGCCCAGGGTTCAGATCTGGCTGGCTGCCTCTCTCTGTAAATAAAGTTTTATTGGCACACAGCCATACCTATTAGATTATGCATTGCCTATGGCCACTTTTACTCTGTAGGGAGGATTCAGAGCTTTCAAGAGAGACCCGTGGCTCCCAAAGCCTAAAATATTCACTCTTTGGCCTTTTATAGAACGAGGTTTGCCAAGCCTTTCCCTAGAACATTCTTTAGCATTCTGAGCCCTGCTTCCAACACTTCTATGTGCCTGCAGAACACTCAAGGAGCATCTGATCCACTAGGTCCCACGTTGGGGCCTGAGATTCTGCATTTCCCCAGGCTCTCAAAGGACATTGAGGCAGTAGTTCTGCAAAACACAAAAACCTCGCCTTGGTGTGGTTTCCCATTGTTGAGTTGCATCCCCGCTCCAGCCCTCCTTCAGCATAGACAGAGGAAAGGAGAGGAAGAGACCATGTCAGCTGAGTCAGTCACTGGCCCTCCAAGGAGAGAAACTGGATCTCAGGCAATCAGGGCTGCAGACCTGGAGGGGAGACTTTGGTCATCCAGGTGGGAAACAAATCTCCCAAGCTACAGTGTCTAGAATGTTCCTTGAAGGTAATTCCTGAGGTTCCAGGTTAACCGCAGGCTGCTTTCCCAACAGCAAGGAAATCCAGGCCCTGCAAGCAGAGCAGAATGAGATCACCCTGGTTTTGAGTCTCCTGAAGTCCTCAAGGAACTTGGATCTGAATCAGAAAAACTACCTTGAGCTGCGTTTCCTGTTGCAGGCCAAGGAAGACTACGAAGCCATGATTAAGTCCACGAAAGAGTTGCTGGTGGAGCTGGACGAGAAGGTGCGACTCAAAGGTCACCCAGAGCAGGAGGGGAGGGGGCATTCCCAGGATGCCTTAGGCAGACTGACTCTTTGTCCTTCTCCTGACTTCCCCTAAATGCTGCCACCCTTGTATCCTCGGGGCTCCTAGTTTCTGGGCTTAATCCCAGGGCACCACAATCCCATCCTTGGGGCATCAACCAGGGGCAGTGGGGTCAGGCTGCAGCAGCGAACGCCACCTTCCCCAGGCTCCATGCCTTCAAACAGTGAAGGCCTCTTCCTGCATATGTACCATGGGTGGCGGGGTGGGCAGCACCCATTTGGAACACTGCCAGGTATTACGTCAGGGAAGAGGAGAGTTCTGGAGGGCCTCACACTGGCCCTGGAGCCTTGTTGGCTCAAGATAGTCATGTGACTCTACCCATCCACACAGGTGTCCAGGAAGTGCCACCCTCCCATGGCAAAGAGTTAAGATTTACTGGGTGGCATTAACAATCATGTCCCTGACTATGCATTGAAGTGCCCTGCATGGTCCAGTCCCTGCCCACCTTTCTGGCTCACCTCAGGGTCTTTGCACATGCTCCCCCATCACCACCCCAATTGTCCTCTTGGGGGGCCTTCTGTGTGTCCTTTCTCCAGGGTACAGTGTATCTTCTTCTACAGGTTAGGCTGCTGTCTGGGAGCAGGCAGCACCCTCAGTAGCAGGCATTGGGCCAGGGTTTAGGCGGGGCTGTTTTCAAGGGTGTGAGCGAGCACATTGAGAGTCTGCAGGACAGCTAAAGGGGGCATGTGGGGTGGGACCTGGAGCAAGCCTGAAGAAGGGAAGACCTGACTCCTCTCTGTTTAACCCTCCATTCCTTACTTAGGGAGCCATCTTGGATCCTTGCAGCTCAGCCTCTGGTATGGAATAGGGTAGGGAGTAAATGTTAAGCTGCACAGCCCCTTACCCTCTTCAAAGGCACCCACGGCACCTCCCTCCTAAGCTCTTCTCACAGTTGCGATTCTGCCTTGAGACAGGGTGGCTTAATGTCTGTCTCATCAGTCTGTCTGATCCATGAGGGTAGGACTATGTCCTCTCTGTCCCCGTGGTAATGCCCACTCCCACACCTGTCTGTCTGGCACACGGCAAGTTCTCAATAAATATTAACTGGTTGAATGAATCCAAAAGATCTCATTACATCTTTTCTCTGCCTCAGACAGTGATCTTCTGCAGTCAGGCCAAATGCTCTAGTGGGCTTGGGCCTTGCTGCACTTCGGCCCTCCTGCCTCCCCATCCCCTGCCCGCACCTGGGTGTTCGGTCCTCATGTCTTTTGAGTCCACAGTGCCCTCCTTCTCATCAGGCCTTTGCAGATGCTGTTCCTCTGCCAGGTGCCCTTCCCATCCTCTGTGCTTGGTGACCTCCTATTCATCCCTAAGGTCCCAGCTCAGGCACTATTTCATCTTTCCCCACTAGAGGGCCCTACTGAGCCTGCCGCGAGCACCTTGCTCATTGCCCTCCCAGGCTCACTTTCAAGACTGGTTTGTCATTCTCTGAGGGCGGGGACCATCCGCCTTGCTTGCCGCCCTTCTCTTGTCTGGCACGGGAACAGGTGTTTAATAAGCATGGATGGGTGGATGAGGAAGGAGGCAAAAAGTGAAGAGGGAAATTGAAGAAAAGATGGGACACGGGTCTTGAGAAGCACTAGGCGAGGACAACCTAGTGTGGGATCCTCAAAAGATCGTGGCGTCAGGGCCCCGTGCAGAGCCTCTTGGCTGCGTCTCATCCCAGGACGGGCAGGCTCCAGAATTCCTTCCTGTGTCCTCCACCCCTGGACAGAGCTTCGTCCTTGCAGGAGGTCGCTGGAGCCTCACGGGACTCTGCCTGGCCTCGGGAGGATGTAGCAAGTGTGTTGGAAGGCAGCAGCGCCAGGCTGGGGAATCCATTCCTCCATCGGCTCAGCCCAAGGCTCCTGGCTCCTCCCAGCATCGCCAGAGCCGCTCCGGCCTTAGAGATACCAAAGGGGCCAGGATGGCAAACTTAATCAGGAGGAGCAGAGGCTGGTGACTCTAGCGTGACCAGTGAAGAGGGCAGCATCCCTTCAGAGCAGCGATGTCAGGGTGTGGAGGCAGCACTTCAGGGTGGTGAGCCAGGGAGCAAAAGGAGAGGAAGGGACACGCCCCCTCAGGACACGCCCCCTTGACCTGCAGACCTCTCGCTAGGCCCCACCTCTTAAAGGTGGCACAGCTCTTAATAGCACCTCTCTGGGGGAACAAGCCTTTAACACACAGGTCTTTGGGGAAGTATTCCAGATGCACAATTCAGCACTCTGCCAGCCTGTTTTATTTTGAGGGGGATGAGGCTGACTGAACCCAGAGTTGCTCTACCACTGAACCACATCCCCAGCCCTTTTTATTTTGAGACAGGGTCTAAGTTGCTTAGGGCCTGGTTAAGTTGCTGAGGCTGGCCTTTAACTTTCGATCCTCCTGCCTCGGCCTCCTGAGTGGCTGGGATTACAGGTGTGCAACTACTCTGTGTTATTGTTTTTTCCACCCTGAAACCCAGAATGTGTTGTCTTTTAGTTGGCTCACATTGCTATTTCATGCCAGCCACCTGGCCATAGCTTKCGACTGCAGGCAATAGATTTATCTTTCTGTGTCTCAAAGTGACAGCTGGGACTGTGCCCTAGAGACTTCACGAAGGTGTGAGGACAAATGAAGGGCATTGAAACTCAGGGGTGCTGACACAGTACCCCTGACACAACTGCTTCCAGAATTCAGCAGCCTAATCTTGGCTCAGGGGTCTCTAACCCCAGCCAGAGGCAGACTAAAGTGTGGGTGACAAGCTCTGTCACTCACCCCGAGGCACCAAAGCCTCCTTCACCGAGGACCCCTCAAACCCAGAACAGGAGCTGGGCTTCAGACCGTCCTCCAAGGTGAATTCCAGCAGCTGTCTCTAGACAAACTTCTCACTCTGAAGGGATGATTAAATGGTGGTGACCCCTTATTTCCTTGCTTTCTTTTTTTTTTTTTTGAGAATTTTTAATATTTATTTTTTAGTTCTCAGCGGACACAACATCTTTGTTGGTATGTGCTGCTGAGGATCGAACCCGGGCCGCACGCATGCCARGCGAGCGCGCTACCGCTTGAGCCACATCCCCAGCCCCTCCTTGCTTTCTTTACACAGCAGGTTCTCCCCAGAAAGCCTCACCCCTTAGTCACAGCCCAAACCCCAGAAGACAAAGTGCCCCTGATACAGTTAGGACCTGGTCCTCGCCTGTCTCGAAGGGCACTTTTCTTCAGAGGACATTTTCAGGCTAGCCTGGGGACTCCTGGGACTCTGGTCAAGCTGCTCCTTCTCAGTGGGGCTGACGGGTGGGTGGAGGATGAGGATCTTTGTCTGGGTGTAGACCAAGCACACTGCAGCTGGCTGTGCCCATTTCTAGCAGAGGGTGGAAATGACACATTTGAACATCTATGGAGTGAGGTTTAAGGGACAGTGACCCCGAGGGGGGGGCATTTGTAGGGCTCTGGGGCTGAAGGATAGAGACATCAAAATTCTCCCCTGCCAGCTGGGATGGGGTGTATTTTACTTATCTGAAATCAGAGTCAGCTCATTGTCCTATTGGAGAAAGTGGACAGTGTGTCTGTTAGGCATGCTTTGGGCTGCAGGTAACATAATACCTAACCAAGGGGCTCCAGTCAAGGGGTATTTATTTATCTATTGTTTTTTTTTAAAGTAAACTTTGTATTTTGGAATAATTCTAAATCCACAGAATTATTAGTTAAAAATTGTTAGTTAAAAAGCTAACACAGGACTGGGGATGTGGCTCAAGTGGTAGCGCGCTCACCTGGAATGCGTGCAGCCCGGGTTTGATCCTCAGCACCACATACCAACAAAGATGTTRTGTCCGCCGAGAACTAAAAAATAAATAAAAATAAATATTAAAAAAAAAAGCTAACACAGAGGCTTCCTACAGGCCCTTCATGCTGCTGCCCAGAAAGTGACCATCTTAGGTTACTTTAGGACATTCATCAGGACCAGGAAATTCACCCTGGCACATGACTGTGAACCTGACTACCATATTTATTGGGATTTCACTAGTGTTTCCATTCATGTCCTTTTCCACTCCCAGGATTCCATTCAGGGAAACACAGGACATTTAAGTTATTTGGGTTTTCTTTTTTTCTTTTTCTTTTTTTGCTTAACAAGAAGTCCCCTGGACAGAGGTGGATGATGTCAAGATTGTGGCAGCCAGGCCTTCCCCGTGCCTCCCCCTGCGTCCCTCCACCCTGGGCCATATCTGCTTGCTTCAGAGGAGGAGGAGACCTGGTCTACAGGGCCAGGTCTCCAGAGCAAGGTCTCCCTAGCCCCTGTCTCCAAAAAAACCTTGCCTCAGAGCAACTGCCCCCTAGCTCTCCACTTACCTCTCTTTCTCCAAGGGGTCCCTCTCTTCCCCTCCTTCAAATAAACTAAAAACCAAGCAAAACACAAAACGTAACCCTCCTGGGATTGCAGGTGACCGCCCACATTCCCCCTTTCTAGAAGTTTCAGGGAGATTTTTCTACTTTCTCTGCTTCCCTTTCTGGGGCTGGGGCTGTCTCCACTTCTGTCCCCAGTGTTTGGAGCAACGTCCCCTCCACCGAAACTGCTTTCTCTGGCTTCACCAAGGAACTTGACCTTCCTAAAACCAGGGCCTTGCCTCTGTTTCCAGCCAGAGACTGAATCTATGAATACTGAACTCTCAAGGGGGGGGCGGGGACTCTCAAATAAAAGGCCGTCATAGGGCTGGGGTGGGGCTCAGTGGCAGAGCGCTTGCCTCACATGTGTGAGGCACTGGGTTCGATTCTCAGCCCTGCACGTAAACAAAGATATTGTGTCCATGTATAACTAAAATATATATATTAAAAACCAAAGGCCATTGTAGAGCCCTTTAGGATAGTGGGTCTCACACCTGCTATTCCCATACCTGTTTCTTTTCCTTTCTTTCTGCTTCCCTCCTTCTGTCCCTCCATTGAGTTAATTACACACAGTTAAGGTCAGGTGTCTTATGGGTACAACTGGATGAATTTTCACATAGCTAGACATCCCTGTAACCCTCACCAATGTCAGGACAGAGATAATTCCAGAGCCCAGAAAACTCCGCTGGTCCCCTTCCACTAACTACCCCCGAGGAACCCTTGTCCTAATCCCCAGCATCACGGATTTGTTCTGCCTGCGAATAGAACAGCATGTAAATGGCCACTTTCAAAGTATGTCTCCATGTCTGGCTCCTTTCATTCAACATCCTTTGCCAAGACCCCTTTTCAACAACCAATAAATACCCTGTTGCAATTCACAGATGATACGAAGTTCCRCTTCCTTACTCTTTTAAATCATTGTGATGCCCTAATTATAGTGTAAAGAAGAAATAAAAGAAAAGCTATTTACACTACAATTAAATTTATTTCCATATTTGAATGTTCTAGTGTGGTATATCGGGAACAGGGCCAGGAAACTCATTTTGTAGAGGCCCAAACAGTCAATACTTCAGCTTTGTAAGCTACAGTCTCTGTTGAAACAACCTCACTCCACCTGAGTAGCCTGAAGGCAGCAGCCTTAACAATATGTAAGTGAATGGCTGTGGATGTGTCCCAATAAAACTTTATTAATAAGAACAAACATGGGCTGGATTTGGCTAAGGGCTGCTGTTTTCATGGTGATCAACTCTTGGTAAAGTTCCAGAACAATTTATTTTGTGTGTGTAGCACAGGGGATTAAACCCAGGGCCTTGTGCATGCAAGGGAAGCACTCTACCACCTGAGCTACATCTCCTGCACCCCCCACTTTTTTTCTTTTTTTTTTTTTGCTGAAATCTAACCCATTGTCTCCCACATGCAAACACTCTGCCACTGAGCTGTGGCCTCATTTCAACTGCTTTCTTTTGATTTATTTTATTTTTAAATTTTTTTTGTTGTTTTAGGTGGACACAGTATCTTTATTTATTTTTATGTGGTGCTGAGGATTGAACCCAGTGCCTCACGCATGCCAGGCCAGCGGGCTACCACTTAAACCACATCCCCAGCCCTTTCTTCTGATTTATAAAGTCACTTTGTTCCTGGATCAGTCAGTGTTCATTAGAACTGAATGAAAAATACAGTGTATTAACATAGAAAAGATAGTTTGCCGGCAACTTGCTCTCACCCTGCGAGAGCTCTGTTCTTGAATAAATTGTACTCCTTTTACTCTTACAAAGAAAACAAAAAAACAAAAACACAGTTTGAGGGGCTGGGTTTGTGGCTCAGTGGTAGAGTACTCGCCTCACACGTACGAGACCCTGGGTTCGATCCTCAGCACCATATAAAAATAAATAAGTAAAATAAAGGCATTTTTTTTTTAATCTCTGTAGTGTCCAGATGGCATTGGGAAGTCCCAAGGGATGGAAGGGATGGGAGACACATCATGAATGCCTGATGCTGTCTCACATGTCATGACATGTGTGACATTTTGTGACCAACCCATTAAATGCCCAAAGTACCCGTGCTCTGCAAGAGCCAAACAACACCTGCTCAAGGTCCCAGATGGCCCCTTGGGGTCCACTCATTTCTGCTAGAGACCATGGCTTAGGGAGGCAGAGTTCATACCCACAGGTGAGTGGAATTTCCATGCACAGGTGAGATCCCACACTCTAGTTGTTGACAGACCTTTATTTTTATGTGGTGCTGAGAATCGAACCCAGTGCCTCACACATGCCAGGCAAGTGCACTTCCACTGAGCCCCAGCCCCAGCCTGAGATTCCCACATTTTAAATTGCCTCATTTTACCCAAAACTAAGATTAAGCTGAATTGAGCAGACATCCAAAAGAGAAGAATTGACAGGGCAAGAAAGGGTATTTCTGTCTCTGCGTTAGCCCTCTTCAGCGAGCCCACTGTGGAATCTATACCCCTACAGATGCTAACACAGCTGCCTGCTCTCTCACTCCGTCTCTCTTTTGCAGATTGTTCAGATGGAAAAAAAAATCTCAAGCCAAAAACAGATCTTCACAAAAATGCAGAAGGCCAACAACCCACAGAAACTGCAGAAACAGATACACATTTTGGAGAGCCGGCTGAATCGGGTATGTGGGGTGCTCCCCTCTCCCCCCACCCCCTTTGCTCTTGGTGAAGAAGGGCGTCCTCTGAACCATTGGCAGACCACACCYATTTCCCTGTGGACCCAGGAGATGGTGAACCAGTGATGGGCACACAGAGCAGGAAGCAGTCTAGAGTTTGCCATCCACCCTCTCTGCACTCTGTCCCATCTACCTTAGCATGTGCTGCTGTCCTCCACCACCACCCCCGCCCCCACCGTCCCGGGGATGCCTACCCTCTTCAGCAAGCAGAATTAGATTCCTCCACCATGGCAGTGAGACCTTGCTTCTTGTCATAGCCAGTGACTTACTGTTGTGCTGTTGAATGACGTCATCCTCTTAGCTATTAGGCCTTTCATGATCATCCTCATTTCACAATGTCTTTTGTATTATTAAGTAGGATTTTCTAAATTGCTAACTGACTTTTAAACAAACAAACAAAAAAACCCCCCAAAGAACAATGACAAAAAGGAAAGTGTTGGTCCAAGAACTGAAAAACTCAGAGATAGAAGTGGGGCCTTCAGGCATAGCTGGATGCAGGTGCTCCAAACATGTCCTTTGGACATCTTCTCTGTCCATCTCTCCCCTGGGTAAACGTCATCCTTGGGTAGCCCCAGACATGATCAAATGCCAGCAGAAAGGGAGCATCTCTTTCCTAAGGGTTTAATATGCCTGTCCCAGGGGGGGGTTCCCATTGGATCAGCTTGGATCATGTGCCCACCCTTGAGCCAAACACTGTGGTTAGAAGAATGGAATACAGGGACCTGAGGCCTGTGACTCTTCTTGGCTGGCTTTCTCTCCCCCAGAGTGGTAGCAGAGAGCCGGGACAGCCCAGTCTAAACTGTGTGGCAGCAGAGTGAGGAGAGGTGGTTCCCCCTGGAGGATCAGGAGAAGGGCGGAGGAAGGCTGGGCGGGGACACTTCACAGCCCAGCAGCTCCTGCATCCAGAGGGGGACAGGTCCTTGCCTCACTGTGCAAAACTCTTAGCTTCCCCCAAACTCTGACCACCAGGCGTTACCCAGGCACTCTGTGGCGAGGTCCCCTCTTATGTCTCGGAGAGATAGGATTTTGTATCCCAAACTGGTCCCCTCTTCCCCTCACACCGGACAGGACTGGCTATGCATTCGAGAGGATTAGGGGCCATCTCTAAAGATGACTTCCGGATCCCAGAATACCCATGACCCTGAAATCTCCTCCACCTACTCCAGAGAGCCTGAGAGCCTCCCAGTAGGTCACATCTTTTATTGCACAATCGAGTTCGTGTAGAGTAAGAACCTCTGTTCCCTGGTCCCCTCTCCCCTGAGTGGCAGCTGGAGACCCCCACAGGGAAACCTGCCAAGAGACCAGGGTTTAAAATTTAAGGAGGTGCTCACGCTCAGGCTTGGGGAGATGCTGTGTTGACACTTGACCACGAGAGCTCCCTTAAATTTTATTGCTGGCTACCTCAATTAAGCCCGCCTTGACCCTGCAGAAACCTAACATCTCTCATAATGTGCTTTGAAAACCTCTGATGGGAGCAAAGCCCTTACTGTCAGGAATCTYTTTTGTAGTTGTTTCTTTTTCCGTGTCTATGAGAGAAATTCACTCTAACCCTTTTTATATATATATATTTTTTTTCGAGTCAGGGTTTCACTGTTGCTTAGGGGCCTCACTGAGTTGCTGACGCTGGCCTCAAACTTGCAATCCTCCTGCCTCAGCCTCCAGAGTTTTGCTGGGATTAGAGATCTGCATCACCATGCCTGGCTCACATCACCTTAAAAAAAAAACTTAAAAAAATATTTTTAAAAATAAGCTTTATCATGTATATTTAAGGCATAGTTGGTGATGTTCTGGAATACATGTGGAGAGAAAAGTGGTGACTGTAGCAAAGGAAATTAACATATCCATCATGTCATATGGTTGTGTGTGTTTTTGTGGTGACAGTAGCTACAATCTACTCACTTCCCAGGGATTCCAAACACAGTAGGACTTTATTACCCATCATCCTCACATTGTGACTCTAACTTGTTCATCTGACACGTCTGCTCCCTCGCATCCTCTGACTTGAAGCTCCCCACCCCTCCCTGTAACCACTGTCTTTCTCTCTGTCACGTGACTTCTGTTCTGTGGCCAACCCTGCACGTGAGATCACACAGCATTTGTCCCTCTGTGATTGGCTTATTTCACATAGCGTAATGTCCTCCAGATCCACTCATACTGTGGCAAATGGTAGGATTTTTTTTTTAAGGCTGAATATTGATCGTGTGTATGTGTGTGCATGCATGCGTGTGTGCAAGTTCCTTGATCCGTTCACGCGTCATGGACACTAGGTGTTGCTGTGCCTCAGCTACAGTGAGCAAGGCTGCCTGCTCCCAGCTGCCAATCACATTTCCTTTGGCCTCATACCAGAAGAGGGTCGTAGGGTCATTCTACTTTTAATTTCTTTAGAAACTTCCATAAAGTTTCCCATAGTGACTGCACCAACCCATATTCCCATAGTGTAACCCACATCACTTAAAAAAAAAAAACTCTTTAAAAAAACTAAGACAAATTTATGAAGATTTATGTACAAAAAAAAATTAGAGGGAATAAAATAATGAACCCCCACATACCTGTCACTTTGATCTAATAATTGTTAACGATTTGCTTTAATGGCTTTACCGTTTTTCACCCTGGAGTATTTTAAAGTAAATTATAGGTATCATGACATTTTAGCCCTGATTTCTTCAGTTTCACCTCTTACAATTAAACATTTGCTTTCATGATCACAATACCAATATCACATCTTACAAAATGAGTATTTCCTTCACGTGACCCAATACCCCATCCCTACTAAAATTTCTCTAGTTGAACCAAAAAATGTCTTTTAAAAGTTGGTTCAAGCAAGGTTCATACAATTGTTAGGTCTTTTAAGTTTCTTTAAATTTAAAATAGTGGCTCTTAATCAAGAATGATTTTGCCCCTAGAGGGACATTGCCTTCTGAGGGACACACTTTAGCTTGTCACAGCTGGATTGGGGGTGGGTGGTAGTGATATTTAACATGCTAAGAAGCCCAGCCCAGCCCCTGCCACAGAGAATCATCTAGCTGTAAGCCCCAGGGTCTTGTTAAGCTGCTGAGTCTGGCCTCAAACTTGCGATCCTCCTACACCTGCCTCCAGAGTCACCGGGATTTCAGGCATGTGCCACCATGGCCAGCTTGGCCAGTTATTTCTGATGGTGTCATTTAACTTGTTCCTGTCTCTCATGTAATGATCCCAAACTGGAAATTAGGTCTAAAAGTCATTGAGGAATCTGAAATCCAGAGAAAAGAATCCAGCAAAGGCCACTTAGCCAGTTGGTGGCCCACTYCACCGTCACCCAGTGCTCCCCAAAGGTTGTTCCGTGTCCTGGGATGTGAGGCAGCGTGTGGGATCTTCCCACCTTCCATCTGCCTTCTGGACGCTTGTCTTACAGCCCAGAGAGCAGCCCTGTTTTGAAACACAGCCCTTCCAACAGGTCACTGAGCACTTTGATAAGATGCTGACTACCAACGCCAAGCTCCGTCAGGAGATTGAGAACCTGCGGTTTGAGAAGGCCACTTATGACAACATCTACCAGCAGCTGTGCCAGAGCCTGTTGTCGCAGAAGAAAACCATGAACTTGGCCATTGAGCAGTCTTCTCAGGCCTATGAGCAGAGGTGTGCTGGGGAGGTGCCCCTTGCGGTGTGTTGGGGGACCTTAGACCATAAACCCAATGACTCTGCAGCTGAGGCCAGAGGCTGTGTGTGACTTTAGCCCCCACAGGGGCCCTAGGTCCCCCTTTTACAGACCAGGAAAAGGAGGTTTAGAGACACTAAAATACTTACCTGAAATCCAGGTAAGTGGCTGGTGTGCTGGAGTTAATACGCAGACCTCTATTCGATACTGTCCCCTTGGGAGCCCCTGACTTTGGTCCTGAGGGACTGTCTCCATCGCCTCTCTGTCGCCTACAGTTGGGCTGTGGAGAGAGCAGGTGTTGGAGTGAGAGGAATCTGGACTTGAATCTTTGCTCCATCGCTTCACATCGTTGTAGGATCTCTTTAGGTGGGAAAGAGGGTCAATAAGATGAAGGAGCACGTGGGTCACGGTGACTGACAGGTAGTGGTGGTGGTGATGTGGTGATGATGACGGTGGTGATGTTGATGATGATGTGGTGATGGTGGTGGTGGTGATGACGGTGCTGATGGTGGAGGTGGTGATGTGAATTGTGATGTGGTGATTGTGATGATGACGGTAGTGATGTTGATGATGATGATGTTGATGGTGATAATGGTGATGGCGATGATGGTGATGATGATGATGAGAGTGGTGATGGTTGTGACATTGTTGATGGTGATGATATGGTGTTGATGGTGATGGTGGTGATGTTGATGGTGATGATATGGTGTTGATGGTGATGGTGGTGATGGTGGTGGTGAATGGTGGTGATGGTGATGATATGGTGATGTGGTGATGGTGATGGTGATGATATAGTGATGGATGGTGATGGTGATGATAGTGATGATGGTGGTGGTGATGGTGAGGGTGGTAATGGCTGTGACACTGATGATGGTGGTGATGTGGTGATGGTGATGGTGATGATATAGTGATGGATGGTGATGGTGATGATAGTGATGATGGTGGTGGTGATGGTGAGGGTGGTGATGGCTGTGACACTGATGATGGTGGTGATGGTGATGATGGTGATAGTGGTGATATTGATGGTGATGTGGTAATTATGGTGTTGATGGTGCTGGTGATGGTGGTGCTGGTGATGATGGTGGTGGTGATGGTGATGGTGATGATGGTGGTGATGGTGATGATTTGGTGATGTGATGATGGTGGTGATGGTGGTAATGGTAATGGTGGTGGTGATGGTGATGATATGGTGGTGATGGTGATGGTGATGGTGGTGATGGTGATGGTGGTGATGGCTGTGACAGTGATGATGGTGGTGATGGTGATGATGGTGATGGTGGTGATGATGCTGGTGATGATTATGATAATGACAGTGGTGCTGGTAGTAAGGATGATGATGAGACAGAGATGACAATGGGAAAACACACTTCCTGTGCATGGCCTAGAGCTTGCAGCTCCAGTTGTTCCAGTAAGCTAGGCTGTTCCACTCCTAAAGTCCTTGGTCAGTAGGAGACCTGGTGTCTGCTGGCCAGACAGGAAGCCCCCGGGGCCACAGGGAGAAGGGAAGAGAGTGAGGCGCTTGGGGACCTCAGCCCCTGCATCCTCGCAGCATGCAGGCCATGGCCCGCATGGCTGCCATGAAGGACCGCCAGCAGAAGGACATCTCTGAGTACAACCTGGAGATCCAGGAGCTGGAGCGGCTCTACGACCACGAGGCCAAGCTCAAGTCCTTCTACAACCACGAGAGCAAGCTCAAGTCCTTTCTGCATGTCAAGAAGAAGGACCGCATGGAATTGGAGGAGGACGCGAAAAAGGAAGAAGGTACACCACCCCCCCACACCCCCACACCCTCCACCCCACCACCCCCCACCACTCCCCCACCCCCCCCACCCACCACTCACCCCCACCCCTACGCTCCCCAGTCTCCTTGTGGTAACGTCGCCAAATTTAGCACAAAAAAATAATAGGGCTGGGCTGGGGCTCATCGGTAGAGCGCTTGCCTCACACGCGTGAGGCCCTGGGTTCCATCCTCAGCATCACATAAAAATAAATAAAGAGACTGGGTCCATCTACAACTAAAAAAGAATTTTTTAAAAAAGATGCCTAGTTAAATTCAAATTCAGAGAAACAATGGCCAGATTTTTAGGATAAATATGTCCCAAGCAGTATCTATGTGTCAGGGTGTCCTAGACCAGGCCAGGTTTGATGACTCACCAAGAGGACCCGAGGGACTCCGCACAGGGTCACAGTCAAGGCGGTGATGTATCACAGTAAAAGGGCACAAAATCGACAGGAGGCAAGGGCCCGAGGAGTGGAGACCAGAGGTGCACACTTCATGGAGAGCCACACAGAGCAATGACCCCTCCCATACCTGGCACACGTCATTTATGAGGGGCACACACACAGACTGTGTTCCTGGGGACCCGTCACCTAGGCTCCTGTGCCTAGCACACAGCACAGTCATGTGCTCCCAAGGGCAGGCATGGCAGTGCAGCGCGGTGAGCCCCCTAACCACTTAGGGCAAGCACAGGGACCCGTTCACCCTGAGTCCTGGGATGCCAGCCGACAGCACAGGAGGCCCCGGAGGAGACCAGATCATAAATGACACTGAGAAACTTCAGCTTGAGCCCAAGGACCATGGGGARCCGTGGGAGGGAGGCCTGCTGGGCCACGCCCTTCCCAGAGGGCCCCCCCCTCCTCTATGTTGGTTTTCATTGTCTCTGGTGCTGGGAGGGGATCCAGGGCCTAGGACCTGCTGAGCTGCACCCCAGGCCCTTGGATTCATTCTTCCCTGTTTTTTTTTCCTGCCTATTCCTGGTCAGTCACTCGGCACCATTGCTGGAAGAGCTTCTGAGGAGCCCATGTCTTCCTCTAARATAACGACCCACAGCTTTTTCACCTTTTGGGCCTGTGTCCAACCACCCAGCCAGTGTCCACCCACGCACCCAGCCACCCAGTCAGTCACCCACCCAGTCAGTCACGCACCAGTGCGTTCACCTGTCCATCACCCCTCTGTTCACCTGCCAATYATCCAGGGGTCTTGGAGCCAGTCCGTCTACGGAGCCACCAGCTTGTGCAAGCTCCTCTCGTAGGTGCTTGGCACATGTGAGTTCCACATGACCCCATGACAGCATGAGAAGTGGGCTCTGTCACTGACCCCCCCGAGGTCCATGGCAATGTGAGTGGCAGGTCCAGGGCTCCCTCCCAGACGTGTCGGCCCCCACCACTACTCTCCTCATTCTTAGTCCTGTCCCTCCTGTGCCCTTTGCCCTCAGAGTGATCTGTCAGGGTCATGTTCTTTGTGATCTCCGGACCCCTCATCCACCCGTCCACCCACCTGATCCATTTCTAATCTTTAGTAGACTTCCTGACCACAGCCTGAAACGGGCACCAGGCTGGAGACCAGAGGAGAGCAGTGACCACAACTGTGTTCACCCTTTGTTAGTCAGCTTTTAATTATTTTGTCACTGTGACCAAATGATCTGGCAAGAAAAATTGGAGGAGGAAAAGTTTATTTGGGRATCMCAGTTTCAGAGGTCTCAGTCCATGGATGGCCCACCCCATTGCTCTGGGCCCAAGGTGAGGCTCACATCATGGCGGGAGAGGATGRCGGGAGAGGGTGGYGGAGGAGGGCAGCTGGGACACGGCCACAAGGAAGCAGGATGTCACCCAGGATGACATATACCCCCAGATCACACCCATGACCCACCTCCTCCAGCCACACCCACCTGCCCACAGCTATCACTCTCTCGGGGTCAGTGCACCATTTAGGTTGAGGCCCTCATAAGCCGGTCACTTCGCCTCTCAACCTTCCTGCCTTGTCTCACGTCTGGGCTTCTGGGGGACACATCACATCCAAACCATAACAGCCCTGATGTCGTGCGGCTTACGTTCTGGGTACAGAGCCCTGGAAAACACACAAACAAAGGACACAAACACTTCGCACCGGGCAGACCCTTGGGAGGAAAGACAGACATGGGATGGCGGCGGCCAACGAAGGACCCAGGAGAGGGGACAGCCCTCGACCTAAAGGACAYAAGACTAGTGGTGCAGGCACCAGGCATCCAGATAGCAAGAGCAGCCAAGGCAAGGCTGGGGGCGGGACGGCTGGGCTGGAGTGCAGAGGGGTCCTGGAGTCAGTCCTCCAGGGACACTGAGGGACCAACTGACCACATGCCAGGAGCTGGAGAGGCAGAAAGGACACAGTGGGAATAAGACAGAGATCCTGTCCTCACAGAGTTGACCCTTCAGGGGATCCAACAAGTGAGAAAACACAGAAGCCGGGCGCGGTGGCCCACCCTGTAATCCAGCAGCTCYGGAGGCTGAGGCAGAAGGATCGCGGGTTCAAACCCAGACTCAGCAACAGCGAGGCCCTAAGCAACTCAGCCTGTCTCTAAATAAATACAAAAATGGGCTGGGGATGTAGCTCTGTGGTCAAGTGCCCCTGAGCTCAATCCCTGGTACCCCTCAATTTGAAAAAAATAAAAATAAAACACAGAAGTTAAGCTGATTCTTAAACTTCTTTTTAAAGTTGATTCTTTGGTTCTCAGAAACCCAAGAGCACAAAGAAAATAAAAGAGGGTAATTGACAGACAGTGACCCAGGACTGCTTTATCTAGGGTGGTCAGGGTGGGCCTGTTGGAGGAGGTGACACGAGGGAACCCGTCACAGGAGGCCCTAGAGGAGACCAGATCATAAATGATGCTGAGAAACTTCAGCTTGACCCCAAGGACCATGAGGAGCTACATCATGTCATGTGCCCAGAAAGATCTAGAAAGAACCTTCTGATKGCCATGTGGAGGCCATATCAGAGAGATAAGCCTAGGTTCAGGGATTCTGTGATTCTAGGCCAGTGAGAGTGAGACTCAGAGAAGAACTTCCTTGAAGGTTCTTATTCCTTGAACTCACCAAGCTCTGAGCCCTCCTAAGAATCTTCTGTCCCCAGACTAACTTGGCCACTGCCTTGACCTTCATTCTTCTCAACCRTCACCTCTACAGAGAGGCCTTCCCTGGCTACCCACCTAACGCAGGACCCCCATCTCTGTGCCTGACAAGCCTTCTTCCAGCCGCAATGGTAATAAGCGGATTTCTTCTTCTGTTTACTTGTATATCTTGTTTTCTTTCCTCTCTTTGTCTCTTTTTCCTCCTTGGAAAGCTCCCTGGGGCCAGGGTTTTGTGTCAGCAGAGCCTCGCCCAGTGCCTGGCACTTAGTGAATACTGAATTAGGTCTTGGTGAAGTGGAAATAGTGGAGCTTCTGAACCATTTTTTGGAAAAACCCAGTGCCCACCCTCCCGGGACAGGGCCACCATGCTGTGGAGCCCATGCTATCTGCCTGACCYGGAGCAGAAGGGCTCCTCACTGTCACTGTTTCTTCTCTAGCTCTCAAGACAAAAAGGCACAGGAAGAATAGCAAGGGAGAGAGTTTTGAGAGCTACCAGGTGGCCCACCTCCGGCTGATGAAGCTGGTGGAGGATGGGAACCTGAGCCAGCTCATTGAGGAATTCCTGGCCAAGGAGGACAAGAACTTTGCCCGGTTTACTTACATCATGGAGCTCAACAACGACATGGAGATGATGAACAAGAAGATCCAGGAGATCCAGGTCGGGACAGCTCTTGTTTGCCTGGGTCTGGGACCACCTGTTCCCACAGCAGCCCTCCCTAGGGCAGCCTCCCTGGGATGTTCCAGACATTCTCTACAGTRAAAAGGGCCGCGAGGTCACACCAGCCTAGCAAGCATCGCTGTGTGTCCCCCGCACTCCCCCTACGATCTAACTTCTCTGAAACTGGCATTTGTGTCTCACTAAAGATACATTGAATGGGTTCGGGTCCCCTCTACCTCCATTAGGGACGCTTATAATCCATGGCATACTTTATAATCCAGAGAGATGCAAAGCATAAAATATTTACTATTTACGATCTTTCTGGCCCTTATTCCCCCGCTGCAGGGCGGGTGCCAGGCTGCAGACTGGCCAAATGCAGCCTGCCTTCTTTTTTGCTTCTCCACTTGCTAATTTGCTAATTTATTAGTTTCCAACATTTGAAAAATCAGTATATTCCACATGCAAATCGCATTTCCTGTTTCTCTTGGAAAATCAGATCTGACCACTCTGGCCCTTATTCCCCCGCGAAGCCCAGTTCTTCCCCCGTCCGTCTGCCCCAGGCTCCCTACTGGCCCCCCAAGCCCGCCAGGCCTCTCGGGCTCGGCGCATCGCCGCTGCCCCCTGGTGGTCAAGTGCGGCACTGCATGTGCTCTGCGGGCCGAGCGTGGTGAAGGGAGAGTGGGCAGGTGAGGCCTGAGTTTCCACTCTGCAGGAGGGAGGGTCTCTCTAGACCCAGTGGGACAAGGACAAGCCATAGCAAAATATGTGAGAACTCCAGTTTTTTTTTTTTTTTTTTTTGTACTGGGATTGAACCTGGGCACTCTACCACCGAGTCACATCCCCAGCCCTTTTTATTTTGAAACAGGATCTTGCTCAACTGCCCAGGCTGGCCTCCAACTTGTCATCCTCCTGCCTCAGCCTCCAAAGTTGCCAGGATTACAGGCATACACCACTTGAAGACCCGGCTTCCCCGTGGTCTCTGAAGCTGGGACCTTGTTAGAAAGGCACATTCTTGGATTCAGAGACTCTGGGGACCTGTGATCTGCGTTTTCACAAGCCTCCAGGGGATTCTTGCTGGAGTCTGAGAACTCCTGCTCCGGAGCTGCCCAGACCAATGCAGTAGCCACTAGCCACATGTATTTATTTAAGTTTAAATTCATTGCAATTAAATAAAATTGAAAAACCAGTTCCTCAGTGGCACTAGCCACATTCTCATACCCACATGTGATGACCACAGTCTGTATTACTACAGGTAGAAGGTCCCCACTATTCACACAAGATGCTGGTGACGGCCCCCTAGGGACTCTCCAGAATGGACGCCTCACACCCTCCCATGCCATCATTCTGCTCTTCATTAAGAAACCTCAGAACCTCCGAAGCCTAGGAGCGGCTCTGAGGTTCTAAGACTCTTGAACAGGTCATTTAACTCCGGATTGGGACCAGGTGTGGTGGARCACGCCCGTAATCCCAGCAGCTCGGATGGGAGGCTGAGGCAGGAGGATCACAAGTTCAAGGCCAGCCTCAGCAACTCAGCAAGATCCTGTCTCAAAATAAAAAATTACAAGGGCTGAGGAGGTGGCTCAGTGGTCAAGTGCCCTGGGTTCAATCCCTGGTACAAAACAAACAAACAAACAAACAAACAAAAACACCTCTTAGGCCTCTGGAGGCACAGCTTCTTTTGAGGTGTGGTAGGGGAGGGGAGCACCCCGTTTCCTCACAGTGGATTTTCTCCCCGGGCAGGATGAGATCACCCACCTGCGATCCCAGCAGCAGTCTTCCCACGACGACAGCGGCTCTGTCCTGAAGGAGCTCGAGGTGAGCCGGGTGCAGAGCATGGGATGGGGGGTCTCTGTTGTGTGTGGGTCAGGCAGCCCGTCAGCTGGTACCTGGAGCAGGAAGCTGTTAGCCCCATGACCTGAGGCTGGCCTGGGTGACATCCAGACACGTTTCCTGAGCAGGTACTATGTGCCAGGCACTGGACTCAGTGCTTGGAAGTGGACGCTGTTGATCTCTCCAACTCACAGATGAGGAAACTGAGGTTCACAGAGGTAAAATCACTTGACCAACCTCGAGGAGCTGGGATGTGTTATGACATTTAAGTTGTACTTGGCAGCTAATAAAAGGACCCAAGATAACAGTGGCCTAAGCAAGACAGAAGTTTCCTGGTTAAATACATCGGAAGATGGGCACTTCAGGGCTGGTAGGGTTCCATCATGATGTCATCCATGGCCCAGGCTCCTTCTAGCTTTCTAGTTGGCCATCCTGAGTGTGTGCGTGGCTTACATTCCAAATGTGCCAGGTCATTTAACTCCTGATTGGAGCATACCTGTAATCCCAGCAGCTCCTTGTGGTTGCATCATAGCTTCCATAGGTCCAGCCATCACATATACATTCCAGGCAGGGAGAAACTGGGGAGTAAACAAACATAAAGGGTGGGGGAGGGGGGCCTTGCTATCTGTCAACCAGCTTAAGCTATTTTCCAGAAGATTCAGCTAAATGATTTCTGTATTTACATCTCATTGACCATCCATGTTGCAAAACAGGTTTGGAATATAACTTAGGTGCCCTCATTGCCACCCCACAGTCAGTCAGGTCTTGTCATTAAGGCATAAGGGGAGAATGGATTGCAAATACTGGTCAAAACCTTGAACTTCTCAGGAGGTCTGACCAACGTCCTCCTCTAATCCAGAGTTCCTGGCCCAGGAACCGTTCTCCTGGGGCACCTCCCATTCCCCCTTTGTGGCTTGTGTCAGGTTCCCCGGGGCTTCGGGTCCACAAGGATGAAGGTGCTATCCTCTGACTGACCACTGGAGGGCAGCAGAGCACGTGCTGCCACCGAGGTGCTTGGGCTCAGAGCCGTGGCTCAGGGGGAAGGCGAAGGGGCACTGCAGACCCCCAGGCAGGGTCCAGGTCTTAGGAGGACTCCCACCCCAACGAAGAATACTTGCCTGCGGTCCCACATCCTCGCTTGGGGCCACCCAGAGTCCAGACTCTTCTTTGGGGTGGAGACAGGCATTGCCGGGGGTGGGGGGCAGTGGAGAGGCTGCCAGCCCCTCTCTGCCCATGGTCCCTGCATTAGCTCTTTGTTCCTTAGGTTTTAGCTTGACTTGGGGACTCTCCTTTTCCAGTGCAAATATCTAAGCCGGAGAATCTGTCTCAATAGCACTAGGTTCCCAGGTTTTCCTACCCCTCCTTTCACCAGTTTCTGCCCCTCTGGGAGAAGGGGTGAGCCTACTCCCTCACTAGGATCCTGGGAAGGCTCTCAGAACAGTTACTTCCTAGCTGTGCGACCTTGGAACAGTGACCTAACCTCTCTGAGCCTCAGGTCTCTCATCTGTAAAATGGGGCAATCRTCCTACCTGCTGCTCATGGCTGGGGAGACTTGTAAAACCATGACTTGWGCCTGTGACCTCCCGAGCCCCGTGTGGCCCTCCGTGGTTCTCCTAGGGCCCAGGCCTGCTTTGCAGTCCAAGAACTCAGGGAGCGGGAGGCAGGATGGGATGCAGCCATTCTCATTTCCAGCCGCAGGTCAGAATCCCAGGAGTCCTCAAAGTTCCCTGCTGCCCCGGTCACAACTGGTCACATCTGGTCACAACTGGAGCCAGTGAGATCTGACCCCCAGAGGGTGGAGCGAAGGTTGCAAATATTGTAAAGCTCCTGTTGACCCCAGTGTGTCACCCAGGCTGAGATACAGTGGGCTCCCAGAGAGTCTCAAACTTCTCTGTGCACYAGTGTCACCTGGAGGCTCAGATGCCTGCCTCAGCCCAATCCTGCATGTCTGGGTGGGCCCCAGAGCTTGCACCACGCCCATGATCCCCYGTGACCTGACCCTGCCCGTCTGGGGACCCCGCTTTGGAAACCACTGGGCTGGTGCAGGTGTTCTAGACCATGGATGGTGAGAACCGTTTATGGGATGGCAGCCAGCACCTGCAGCTCCTAGGATGGGAGGGACAGAAAAGGAAAACAGAGAACACCTGTGGACACTGCTGGTGAGGCCTGATTCCATGCCATCAGGTGACACACAGGGCTGTGTCCTGCGCCGCGCTCCTTCCTTTTCAGAAAGCCCAGTTGAGGACTCACCTTAAGGGGAAGGAGGCGGTGGGCCCCGCACAGCGTGGTGCCTTCTTCTAAATGCACGACTGGGGCCATTTAACTGGTCCTGCCCCCCTCTGAGGGGTGAAGCCAGTGGCTGGAGATCCGGACCCCCGAGGGTCCCCAGCCCCCTCGCCTGGAGAGTCCCGTCCAGCGGGCTGACCCCGGGGAACTGGTGTCCACCCCCAGGAGAAGCTGAGGAAGACCACGGAGGAGGCCAACAGGTACGAGGACAAAAACCGCGATCTCAGAGAGACCCTGGAGCATCTCAAGACCTCGGTGGAGAATCTGTTCAAGAAGATCAACTGCGACGCCTCCAAGATCCTGGTGCAGTTGGGGGAGACCGGGAAAGTCACCGACACCAACCTGTCCCAGTATTTCTGTGAGTCGCCCTGGGGCCGTCCAGCGCTTAGCAAGCTTTTCCAGTGCTTTCCGTGACCAGGCTCGAGAACTCATTCCTGCAGAGGTGGTGAGCCTGGGGGTGAAGCCCAGGCACCAGAGCCAGGCTGCGTGGGTTCAAATCCCGGTTACGCCCTGACTAGCTGTGTGGTCCCCGACAAGGTGGTTTCAATTTTTTGTTTTGTTTGTTTGTTTTTTAGGGCTCTTTTCCTTTTTCTTTTTTTAATATGGTCTTCCTAGTCGGACAGGACAGTGGAGTGTCTTTGGACATAGCATACATACATGTTATAACTTCCCATTCTGTGGCTGTACATGTGTGGAGTCTCCCTGGTTGTGTGTTCCTCTAGGAGCATGGGAAAGTCACGTCCAATTCATCCYGCTGTCTTTCCTATTCCCATCCCCACTCCCTTCCCTTCTTTCCCCTTTGTCTAATCCAATGAACTTTTATTCTCCCCACCCCCTTATTGTGGATTAGCATCAGCATATCAGAGAGAACATTCGGCCTTTGGTTTTTGGGGATTGGTTTATTTCACTTAGCATGATTGTCTCCAGTTTTGTCCATTTACCCGCAAATGSTATAATTTCATTCTTCTTTATGGCTGAGTAATATTCCATTGTGGATGTATGCCACATTTTTTAATCCATTCATCTGTTGAAGGGCACCTAGGTTGGCTCCATAGCTTAGCTATTGTTAATTGTGCTGCTGTAAATATTGACGTGGCCGCATCACTATAGTATGCTGATTTTAAGTCCTTTGGGTATATGCTGAGGAGTGGGATAACTGGGTCAAATGGTGGTTCCATTCCAAGTTTTCTGAGGAATCTTCAGACTGCTTTCCAGAGTGGTTGCGCCAATTTGCAGTCCCACCAGCAGTATGAGTGTGCCTTTCCCCCACATCCTCACCAACATTTATTGTTACCTGTATTCTTCTAGGCAAGTTTTTGAACATCTCTGTGCTTTCTGTTCTTAAATATTGAAAAAAAATGCAGGGTTAAACCCTAGAGTTACTTCATAAAGCTATTGGGAGGAATAAATAAATGAAGAGTTCTTCGAGGAAAAGAACTTCAGAGTCATTGCAATAGATGCAAAAAAGCATGTACTAAAATTCAGTATCCCTTCATGATAAACACTCCCAACCAGTTAGAGCTACAGGGAGCTTTCTTAACTTGATAAAGGCATCCACAAACAAACAAACAAACAAACCAAAAAACCCACAGCTAACCTCATACTTAATGATAAAAAGCTGAATATCTTTCTTCTAAGATCAGGAGCAAAGCAAGGGCTTTTGCTCTCTATTCTTTTTCAAATTTTTTAAAATTTATTTTTTGTAGATGGACACAACACAATGCCTTTATTTTTATGTGGTGCTGAGAATCAAACCCAGGTCCCGCCCGTGCTAGGCGAACACTCTGCTGCTGAGCCACAATCCCAGATTCTTACTCAATGTCAGAATGAGGTCCTAGATGATGCAATAAGGCAAGAAAAAGAAATCAAAGGCACACCAATTGAAAAGGAGGAAATAAAGTGCTCAGAACGGTGCCTAGTGTAGCAAATGCCTGGTGACTATTGCCTGYGTTTTTAGGCAGGCCCTGAGCTCAGGGTGCAGAGGGAGGGCACACCTACCCCGATGGAGTCCACTTGGAATGAATGGCTTCAWTGCTCCTAGAGTTGACCCTGAGATTCTTCATAGAATCTGGTTAGTGGTGGGTTAGAAGGATTTACAGGCATAGCACATAGTAGTACTTATGGCTACAGTTGRTCTCAGTGAAAGGGTTCAAGGTGAAAGCAGCACAGAGAGAAACATCTGTTCAGAAACCACATGATCAACCACATGTACTAACCGTCCAGGGTGGGCCACTCTGACCAGGTCCTGGTGGTGGGATCCTTGAGATCCAAGTTCCAAGATGCTGGCCACCTCACCACCACATCTCAGTTCCTGCCTCAGGGCCTTTGCCCAGGCTGTTTCTGGAACACTGGTCCATGTGCCCAGTTCCTCCTCATTCTCAGACCTCAGTGTGCGTCCTTTTCTCCCGTGAGACCTCCCTGCACTGCCCCATGTGAAGCTACCCTGTGACCCCTGCTCCTGGGGGTGCTGTGATTTGACATTCCCCGTTTGTCTGTGAGTAGAGAAAGCTTTTTCTATCCGAGGCTATGAGGTTCCTGAGAGCCGGTAGCACAGTTCAGCTGCCAGTATTTCTGGTCTGATTTTTAGATAGAATCAGTTTGGGGTGTGTGCATTTTGTTGTTGTTGTTTTTTAAATGATCCAAATCCAGGAGTTACCGAGATCAGAGAAGGCACTTCCCCCGGATGGCGAGGCCCCTGGAATCCACCCTCCCCTGGCTGGTTCCTCCATGCACATGGAAGGAGAGACTGCTCCCCAGAACTCTTCAAATGCCAGGCCGTGGCTCAGGGAGGGCTGTAGGGAACAGCATCTCAGGCAGAAGGAACTGCATGAGCAAGGGCCCGGCGACCAGCTCAGAGTGCAGATTGGGGAAGAGAGTTTAAGGCTGGGCTCTTCCCCCTTCCCTGGTTCCCAATTCTCAGTCTAACCCACGTCTCAACCCTCCTTTCACTATGGCCCCCTGAGGAGCCTTCAGGATGTTCTTTTCCTAGTGTCCCTCCTGGMGAGATCTGCACCCCAGGTGTCCAGGTACGGCTGTGTGTCCATCTTGCTTCATGAGTCAGAGGTTCTGTTTTTGCTTCTCAAGGGGGACCGCAGGGTGTGACCCAGAGAAAGCGGGTCCTGGGGGGCTCTCGCGGGCAGGTCCCCGCAGCCACCCCACCCCACGCCCCCGCCCTCTCGCAGCCCTCATCGAGAAGAAGACCAACGACCTGCTGCTGCTGGAGGCCTACATGCGAATGCAGGAAGTGGACATGGACACCGAGCCGCCCCCGCCCTTCCTCAACCCTTTCTGGGGCGGCTCTGCCCTCGTGAAGCTCCCAGAACCCCTCAAGGTCACCCCGCCCGTGCTGGGGACTGACTCCTTCAGCGACAAGATAGAGGACAGTGAGTGCCTGCCCCCTGGGTGGGGCGTCCTGGCTGGTGCCCTGGGGACTGTCTCTCCTGCTGGGGGCCATCTGCCTGTAGCCCCTCCACATGGTTTCTGGGGACAGCAGAGCCGGGCCTTCTCCCTAGGCAGGGCCTCCCATCGGCCCCACTAGCCTTTGGAGGGCAGTTTGGTAACACTGAGGTCAGAGAAGGCACTTCCCCTGGATGGCGGGGTGGTGCTGGACAATTACATATAACAGGGGGGAGAGGGAGGAGGAGGAGGGAGGAGGAGGAGGGAGGAGGGGGGAGGAGGGGGGGGGAGGGAGGAGGAGGGAGGAGGAGGAAGAAGAAAGAAAGAAGAAGAAAGAAGAAA